ATAGAATGAAAATAAATATATTCAACTCACGGACAGTTATTTCAATTTATTATAAATTGTAATTTATAATAAATTAAATAATGTGGTATAATAATGGATATGCAACAGGGATATGCAACTACTATATAAAAAATTAACTAATGCAATTGATTCTATAGTTGAATGCGTACTTTTTATATTTGAAATGTAAATAACTTTACTCACAGTCACAATAAGAAATGCTAATGAGCAAATCATCACTATATTTAATGTGAAGTGAAGCAAAGCAATGTATGAATAGAGATTTTCAACGTTCTCCGAAAAATTGATAATTTTTTGATGCTTTCGAATGATTTTCGTTGTAACAGTAATGAATGAATCATGCTTGTCTTCGATGTCTTTGGATCCAAGTTTCGACAACCAGCAAAGCAGGATGTTTATTTGACTGCCCACATGTAGAATCTACTAATAAAGATTTTGTTATTTAGGATCATGTGATTACAATTATTCGTTAAATTTCTAAATAATAAAAATATTATTATGAGAAGTTATTATGAGAATACAATAAACGGTACGAGAATGAATTAAATCTGATGAATATTTCATTTTTGAGTTTACCCTAAGATTTATGAAAATAATTTACAGTGGGCTATTAATTACAAATATAATTATATTTTGCAAATATAATTATAATTATAACAAATATAATTATATTGATACTTGCTTATGTAGGTGCAGGTTACCAGAGTTAGAAACAGAGCGTTGAATAAACCAGCTCCCCAAGTGTACACCATCACGAAAACGAACTGCGTAACTAATGTCAGCCTGTACTTGCGTTGCGTGTCTATAACGAAGGGATATTCCATTTTCATTATGAGAGGAAGTTCAACCGTTCGATCGGTGACGTCGGCATTGGTCAGGAGGATACCAATGACATATGCAAACGTGGCGATTGTATGAAGAATAATTAATCCATTACAAATCCGACTCGATAGTTTCGTTTTGTCCGCTGTTTCGCGTAACGCAATATCATCGTCATCACAATCATTCCAGTCTTGCGCCATTGTTGTCAAGATTTCGATGAATTTTCTACAAACAATCGGATATTTTAGAACAGTTGCAGCGTATTTTCATGTTATTTTTTGAACAAAATTTATTTAGTTGATTAATTGTCGCTTACCGTTGTTTCAACGAGAAAATAATAAGTTTAACAGTTAGTTTTATATGCGCCAAAAAGCTACTCAGACAGTCCATCAAGTCGAAAAGATTGTCGAAGTGAAAGTGCGTTACAAAGTACGAGTAATGGAAGAATTGATTAATTGCTAGCGTAATCATCCAAAACACTCTGTAGAGTACAACGCATGATATACCTGGCCAGACACCGAACATGGTGAGCATAAGTTCTACTGTGCGATTGATCGTACGATTACTTCTCATAACTTCTTGTTTTTTTTCTGCAATTGTCTATGTAGAAGTCAGTGCATCAAAATCTAGAAATACTCTCAAAGTATAAGAAACATCTGAGTTCTGAAATTATGTTATGCACGACTTGATGTATATTATAGAGAATTTGCGTGAAGACTAGAACGACATGAAGCAAATAGCTCTTGGGAGATTAACCAATGACGATTGTTCATTAAATATTTTTATTGTACTGCGCACAAAGAAGCAATCTCTTGTACGTAATTTAAAAAAAAGAGAATGGTCAGAGTCGTCTCACGTTTTGTTCAGTGCAGACGATGTACTCGCGAATAATTTGCATAAATATATAATGATATGTAGTAATCTATACGATGTATATACCTCTACTAGCAAGACGCGATCTTGGAAAAGTCTTAAGATGGACAGAAAGAATATTCGAGAAAAAATATAAAGAAATTAACCAAGTAATTGTGTACAAGATATTATTTATTTATAGAATTTTAACTTCTCACAAAATTACCTTTGAAAAAAGAAAATCACTCGATGAATATTTTTCACGTAAGATAGTTACTGCGCATTTGTAATTTATTTACTTTAATAATTCAGAGTGCCGTATGAAACGTTACGGAGTGTAGGCGATTGTACATCGAAATCAAACTCTTCCTCTAAAGTCTCGGTAAAATTAAAAATATAGAAGTATAAGGTACTAAGAAATAAAATAAAATTATTAAGTATCATATATATAAATTACGCGATTGTATTCTTTGAATCTTAGTTATTTGTAACATATTTTTCTCAGATAAATAAAAAGAATTTAATATCAATTTTACAATTAACATTATGAATTAATTCATATTACTGATTCGCAAGCACATTTATGTTGCACTTGCACGAATCGTTCCAATAATAAAAGTAAAACAAATATTACAGTGATTGATACGATCATTGAAATATGCAAAATACAATTTTTATTCAATATGTGCATATACTTCATTTATAACAATCAGATTTAACAATCATAAATTACTATATCATAGCTTTTATGTTAAGCACTCTTTGTTGACAATGTACCGCTAGCATCACTGATACATAAGATGCTGAAGCTTTTACAATCTATAACAATATTATGCATTTGTCACTAAATTAATACATAAAAATGCAGGTAGTGTAAAAGATGTGTTTTAAATGTAATTTATTATATATAAAAACTGTACTATTATAAATAATAAGTAGCACTATAAATATATAATATGGTAAATATAATAATATATTTACCATATTATATATTATATATTTAAGAAGGAATTCTAATTTTTACAAAAAAATTTTAAAAGTATTTTTACACTGACATATCGTTCGAGAGCAAGATCCATAAATTTTTCAACTGTAATCGTCAACTAGTTTTGCCATTTCATTATCAAGAATAAGATAATCCGACTGTCTTGAAATCTGTATTAATACTAACGGGAATCAGCATCTCCAATTGCTCTGTTTTATATACCAGAGAGTTAAGCAAAGAGAAAAATTAACAATTTATTTATTAATAATACATTATAGATTTTAATATTAACCTTAAAGCTTAAATTTTCTGCAGCAAAATCAAACATGAAAATCTCAAAATTCATCATAAGATAAAATCTAAGGGACTTTATTAGAATTGTAAGCATTATGCCTTCCAATTGACTCAGAAATATGAAAAATAATTCTTGTAATATGTTGATATATGTCATACGTGTAGATATTGAGTTGTTGAAAGTTCGTGCCGACTAAAATTTAAATTTTAGTATACATTTATTAAATTAAAATTTTCTGCGTTTCAATTTTCCTTCAACATCGGCACGAATTTTCCGAACGACCCAATATAACGTACATATAATAGTGATATTAAAATAATTAATAATAACTCGGCCAACATAAGTATAGTCATATATAAATTAAATTAAAATTAAATATCAGTAAATTTTTTATAAAAATTTCTTTTCTTGAATTATTAACCGTTCAGCAATAAACCAATAAGCAAGAAATATTTGAAACATTCCAGCGGTGTTGCTGAGAACGCATAACAATAGTGCAGCCACATAGCAACTGTGCAAAAGAATTGTGTAACTAATATTACCAATCCATAAACAAATCGTGTATTACTATTGAATGGAAAGATTCATCTTTAGAATATGCGGTCGCATGGGTATGTAAATGTTCTTCTAGATTACTCGTATCAAAAGTGAAATCGTTAGCGGTATATGTTATGGCTGTCGAGAAGACTACTGAAGACAGTTTCAGCGAAATTCTGTGATAGAATGACTTTGTTTTTGTTTGTTCTCACATGTGTACTGTAATTGACATAGCTTCTTTTCTTCCAGTTCATCATCATCAATATCTTATCGAATGTTCTAAAAGTGATTTTATCAATTATCACAATATAATACTAAAAAAAATATTAATTTTTTTAGGCTATTATATGTGCAAAAATTTGTATAATGTGCATAAATAATATGATTAAAAATAATATAGTGCCTTTCTTTATAAAAATATAATTAATATATTTCTAGATTTAAATCATAAATATTATAAATATATTTAAATATATTTTTGTCTTAATGCTGATTGAACCAGAAAATGACGAGTTTAAAAAAAATTAGCTAAATCTCAAAGTTGCACTTAAATCGGAGAGATCGATAGTGTGTAAGTGCAAAATAATATATCGATATTGTGCACATCAAATAATCACGAATGCAATCGTTCAAAACAATCTACAAAATGGAATGTACGGTAAACCTGGTCAGATATCAAAAATGCGAAGCGGAACTTCTGGTTCAGTTGATAGTGGTAGGTGATTGTAGACTTGGTGATTGTAGATTTGTTTCATACTTCATTTTTAATTTATAATATACTTCAATTTGTTACATATATCCAATTATTCAACTATTTTTTAAATATTTTTTCTTAAAATGAAAATGTGTGTAAAATTGGGCACACAAGTCACATCGGATTGCTAATTTTCATTAATTTAATTGTGGTTTTGACTAAAAATACTATTGACTTATATAAAATATTGATATGAGAATATAATAAAGTGTGATATGATTATTTTACAATTCTTTTCAAAGAAAATAGAAGTCTAAGGTATTGTGATAACGTTAAAAAATGATTTATTTTATATTCTTCTGCACATTATTATGATTTTAGAATATTCTAAATTATACTATTATTTAGACTACAAAAATATATGTCGTACTATATGAATTTCTCTATCACTACAGAATATATATTTATATTTATGCATATTTATGCTTCACGACTATTATATAAAAATTATCAAATATGCGACGTGCTTATTGCATAGTCAGCACTACTGATAAATATGATCGTGATTCTATCATGATTTATAATAAAGTATAAACATTTTGTTAGTTATAAGTTACTTAGTTATAAGTTATTGGATTGTCCGAAAAGTTCGTGCCGACTAACCTATATAATTTAATAAATGTATACTAAAATTGAAATTTTCTGCGTTTCAATTTTCCTTCAACATCGGCACGAACTTTCCGGACAACTCAATACATAATTTTGTAATGTATTATAAAGTTTGTTAGCAAATGTTTAATTATTATGCATCATTTCACGAAACTATATTCAAAAGGGAAAGAAAGTTTTGTTTGTGATAAGAGAAATATTCACATATTTTTGCTTATCTATATATAAAGAACAAAAGACATGTTAAATGTTAAAAATACATGTTCATTTTTTGATGATCATATATATTTTAATAATAAAAATGAATATTATTTGCATTTTGTAATTACTATTAATTCTTCATTTCTTATAAACAGATTTGATTCATATCTCAATAATTGTTATTGTTACACTTATCCCTTAGACCGTCATATATTATTCCGCGATATGAGGTAATATCTGATTTTTAAACAGGATAAGAAAATTTATTTTTATACATAAACAAGAAATAATTCTGGTTACCAATATTTTTCTATTAATAATAGAACATTTAAAATAATTATACGTCTAATAATTAAATATAAATAATAAAAATTAAGAAAATTTCACGTTGTTGAATTTCAGCTTTGTGTTTTTTCGTCATAATTACCCCGGCTGACCCTATGTGTACAATTATTGTTCAAAATTATTTTGTGTATTACATATAAGTCTTGCACTTGATTGAAAAGATTTTAAGGAGGGATCCATTATTTTTTCAACTGTAAGTGTCAATTGCATTTACGCTCTTAATATCACGAATATCACGAATATTAAACTACAGCTGTTTTTAGATTTTATTTCGTATCAGGCGGAATTGTTGCGGAACACCACTTTACTCTAAAAAATTCAAAATCGTTAAAAGAAATTGTCCTAATATGTATTATAATTTTCTTTTAACAATCTCAAAATAACTATTATTGATTATTGTCATAAATATTTTCTTATACCTAATGTTGTTTTTCATACATTTTCCTGCGTAGAAAAATATAAATCTTGCTTCAAGATTCATCCACGGTAAAATGACAGAGATCTCATTACGTGCTGTATCACATCGGAACTGCCAATTGCCTGCAATATTAAAGTAGCAATTATTAAATTCTAAAATTATATATATAGTATATAGATTTATACGTCAATAAAATAGATTTCTACGTCACTCTAATCGCAAAAAACTTATTTTGTAATAAAAATTTACATTTAATTTTATAAAATGTAATATTATTATATGTAATACTTAATGTTTTCACTAGCCGTTACAATGAGAAATCACAAAGAGCCAATCAGGATACTATGCATTGTAAATTACAATAACGCGATGTATATAAATCCTCAATATATTCCGAAAAATTAATGAAATTCTTTATTTGCGAATAATTCTGATCGTCATGACCGCGATCCTTCATTTCCTCATAGCACAAATTCATTTAATCAGCAACGTAGAATATCCATCTGATCACGCATATGAAAGTCTAGAAATAAAATTCATTGTGTCTATCAATCAAATTAATACATTAAATGACAAA